ATTACGGTGGGACACGCAATGTTATCGTCGTTGCCGTCATGTTTTTTTTTTTCGACATACATCGGTGTCGTTACGTCACTGCTACCGACGGCGAATCGAACGGAGGTGGGGATCGCGAGGACGCGAAAAGCGCGGGAAGCAGCCACAACGACGGCGACGACGACGACGACGACGACGACGACGACGACGAGACGACGACGACGACAAAGACGACAAAGACGACAAAGACGACAATGACGACAAAACGATGAAGACGACGACGACGACAATGATGACGACGACGACGACGACGACGACGACGACGACGATGACGATGTTGAGGAGAAGGGAGGTAGAGATGGCGAAGAGACTGCGGGAGTGAGAGACGGACGAGAGGCAAGGTCGTTCTTTGACCCGAAACGTGGTCAGCTCGGCGCCAATTTTTCGGGAGGAACCGGTCTCACCCGGCCCCCTGGAATTCTGGCTGGCTGGCTGGCTGGCTAGTCGGTCGGTCGGCCGGCCGCACATCAGCGACCAACCGACTACGGTTTCGCCGAGAAACCGAGGGCGACACGTTGATTCCATCAACGGCAACGTGTAGCGGGCCGCACCTGCTTTGGCTGTCTGCTCACTCGTCCGCTTGCCAGCCGCGTTGGCGTTGGTGTATCGCGGTCGATATCGCGACGAGACAATTCCGAACAATTAATAACGAGAAGCTCAGCTCGGTCAGCGTCGTCAGCATCAAACGTAATCGAGAGGATCGCGTGGAAACCCAGAAGGGATCGGCGCGAATCGTTCGATAAATGTCGCTGGAGCGTCGCACTTGAAGGGGGGTGAAGGCGGGAGAATGCGCGTCTAATTGATCGATCTCGCCGGTGAGTCTCCCGAGTGCGTCATCGGGGATATTCCCGGTGGGATCGATGAAGATCCGGGAGTCCGGGAGTCACGGCCGGATGTACCGAGGAGGAGGACACTTCTCGAGGTAAGTGCGGGCGCGCGCGCCTCGCGCCATGTTGCTACGTAGCAGCGTTGCGCGACGCGCACTTCAGCAACGAGGTCGCTGCTCAACACGTCGTTAATGCGCGATTCAATCTCACGTAGGCTTCGAGAGTTTGACTCGCGGTGTCCGTGGCGATCTCGCGAGTAAGCTAGCAAGCGTAGAAGCGTTTGCAACGTTTGTCTAACGTTTTAGCAAAGTAGTTTCCACGTGTCAACCTTGCCCGCGCGTACACTTATTTTCGCGCCGCGTCTCCTCGTCCTTGGCGAAGCCTGCCAGCGAAATCGTATCCGCTGTTGATCTCTCCGCCGTCGTCAACATCGTCATCGGCGTCACCAAGAGCGAGTGACTTGCTCTTGTCTTTCCTCTTGTCATCGCCCTTGTAGGCTCGCTTGCTCGCACAACAGCGAATTGGAAACAGCTCGGGCTAATAAGCCGCGCGAGTCGCCGTCGCCGTCGCCGTCGCCGTCGCGATTATAAATTTCGATTCCGTCGCGAGATCCTCGCGTCGAAAAGAGCCGCGCGCTTATTCGACGTCGTGAGTAACGTGCGAACTATTCGATTGCGCAAGCGAGGTCGCGGTGCTAACATATCCGATTCTTTAGTATCAAGGATTCCGACGAAGCGCCAAATAAATCGGTTATCCGCGAGGCGACGCGGCTGGCTGCAGCCTTCGGGCGCGCGCCTCCTTCCTCGCTTCTGCGTTCGCTCGCAACAAGTCCGAATGCCGAGGTCTCCGCGAGGAGCGTCGTCTCTCGGTCTTCTCTATGAGCGCTCGCCGAGGTTCGCCGAAGCCAAACTCGTACACACGAGCCACGTGTACCATTTTTCACGGCAATGTGTCATTTGTAAGCACAGGCAACATTCGAAATGACCCGCGCGCGCGGTGCGAAACGATCCCGCTGTATGTGTACACGGGTCGTCCTTGCTCGCGAGAAATTATGCATATCTACGAGAGAGCTGTTAAATAAATTAGAAATGAAAAAATTCCCGAGAAGGAAGAATGTCCGCGCGTACGACGCGGTCTCTCGTCGCGCTCGTTTTATTCCGCCGAATCGACGAAAATTGGACTATACGGACTATCGGCGATGGAATAGAATCTTACGGAATTCGGTCAAGTCGGACAACTCCGCTCTCTCCCTCTCTCTCGCTCTCTCCCTCTCTCTCTCTCTCTCTCTCTCTGTCTCTCTCTCTCTCTCCCCCCCTCTCTCTCTCTCTCTCTATCTCTCTCTCCCCCCCGTTGAGCCACGACAAACATTGTTATATCCGCTCGTTTACAACGTAAACGATTGAACATTATTCAGTATCCCGACGAGATCGTTAAAGCGCACGCGTCACAGTCTATTTGGCTCTCGCGTGGACTAGACCTCGACGCACAGCCCAGCGGCGACCTCAAATGCTACGACCGTCTTCTTCTTCTTCTTCTTCTTCGCCTTCTCCTCCTCCTCCTCCTCATGTTGCCGCTTTTATAATGATATTCCACTATGTTAACACCGGGCGATAAAGTCGGTAGCCATGATCCGTTTCCACGCACCGGTGCGCTCGACTCCGACGCCGTTACTCCGCTGTCGTACTCGCGCCATCGCCATCATCGTCGTCTTCGTCCCCGTCGTCGTCGTCGTGTTGGAAATCTAAGAAGGTCCGAGACCGCGAGAAGATCATAATCTCCGTAATGCGACGCGGTTTCATTGTTCCTCTTATGGACCGAAATAACAACGAAACGTCGTTAGAATGAGACATCGAGCAGCTGAGAGCGTAGGTGCGAGAGAATCCCAGTGGACGGTAAATGATACGGTAGACACACAGTCCACGTGTCGACAAGATCGTTAAGGTCCGATCGCGCAATGGTTGAGTGAGTGACTGAGAAGCGGTCGTTATTGTCGCGGGGATACCATCTCTGAAGATGCATGGTAATTTAACAACTATAATTGAAACATCGTCTCGCTTGCGGCGTGATAAGCCTTCGTTCTTTCGCTCTACGCTCGAAACCGTGACTTAATTTCTGCCGAGAGACGTCTCTCTCTCTCTCTCTCTCTCTCTCTCTCTCTCTCTCTCTCTTTCTCGTGCGCGCGCTAGCGGCGGACGTCGCAATCCCCGAAATTTAAGCGTCATCACTTCTGGCAGCGCGGGAAACGTCTCTTGCCGGAAATTACGTTGCAGTTTAAGCCTTAGAGCAGAAGGTTAACTACACCATACTGAAGGCTCACCACACCTATCGCGTAGATCCGGCCTAACGTGATCGGATCCGAAACGTATCGACTCAGTCGTGATATTTAGAAAGCAAAATACCGCCGATAGTCGGCTGAGCGCGGGCCGCGGCCGCGGACGCGGCCAGTTAGTTGGCGCGCACTGTTAGAAATCGCTACAAGCAATTATGCAGATACAAAAGACCTTACCTCGTCGTTTGAATAATATAAACTAAAAGAAAGAAATTCGAGGTAAGTTTCAAGATAATGCAGCGGAATTTGCATACGTAATATGAAGGAACGCTCTCTTGGCTGACCGGTTGGCTCGTGTGTTCCGCCTTCCGCGAAATTGGAATTGAAATATAGATGATACGCTATATATTTATACACACACACACAAGCGCACATACAAACACACACGTGCGTGCGCCGAACAAACACGCCGTTCGACCGCGAGAATATATATAAATATGTTAATGACTCGTAGGTAGAGGCTGTTTCGTGATGGGAACCAGAACGATTATCCTCGACTCAAGCGGAAGATACACGATTTTGTATTTGCGAACAGCTGACTGTTCACCAACGACTCAGCGTCGTGACGTGTTCTCTCCCGAGAGAACATTTGCGTCAAATTCGCGGTCGCGATTTCGACGTCGATTTTGAATCATTGGTGCGTCAAATAACGCACCAATGTGATTCGTGGATGACTCGTGGATGAAGGGAGGAAGACGAGAGAAAGAAACGATTTCTCGCGCGATACGAATACCGTCGCGTGTACGACTGTGCACGCGCAAGGCGTGCACATTCACATTCGCGAGCGAGCGAGCGAGCGAGCGAGCGATATCACTCTTGACCCGGCTGAACTGGCAATGACCCAAAGTCATCGGCGGATCCGATCCGCGGATGCCTGCCGTCAATTAAAGCGAGCACTCTTCGTGGTCAACGAGGTGTATCCCGGGAATGTCGCGAACCTTTGCCATTTCGCCTCGCGAATCGTTACGATGCATCTTTCATCCTCCGCGCTCGAGAGATCCTCGAACGCGTCGCCGCCGCCGCCGCCGCCGCCGCCGCCGCCGTTGCCACGATCCTCCCGAGCGTTCAAGGTCCATCCCTGCCCCTCCCTCCTTCCCAACCGCTTCTCTCGCTCCGCGGCGGAGCGGGTGTTGAGGTCATAGCGATTTTTCGTTTCCGAAATCCGTCCGCGGCCGAGGTCGCCGTGAATTGGATCACGATGACGACGATCCGCCGCGCCGCGCGCGCGCGCGCGCGCGGCGAAGATCGTAATCGCAGAAGGACAAAACACCGCGGCGGCCAAGAACGCCGCGAACGATTCTCACCCTCGCGATCGATCGTCACGATCGAGTCTATCGAACGATCGATCATGCCGTTCATTCTTTCTCTTTCTCCGCCTCTCATTGCGCGCCTTCACCGTGCGCGAGATTGTCCGTAGGGGTCCGCGTAGCTTTTTTTCGGCGTGTCACTACTTTAAACGCCGTTCGTCGTCCAGATAAATCGACTCGCGAGTTACTTGCGTACCTGCGGTCATGCGGCTTGATGTCCAAACTACCGGCTATGAACGATCTATTTCTATCGAAGCTGCCTAGTTTTGGAAAAACTACTCAAGTACGAGGTTTTCTGAAAAGAGCGACAAAGTATCACGAGGGCCCAGATACGTTTACTCGATCCTTTCTTCGCTTGTATTTAACGTCCATCGAAGATACAAAATGCATCGTATTGTAAACTTTAGAAGAAGTTTTACGCGACGGTTGTTTGGACCGTCTCTTGGCAGTTCCAGCGTCGGATAAACTTTGCGCTTCGCGCTTTCCTTCACGTTACAGATTAGGCTGCCGCTGAAGGTGAGCTTTTCGGTGCGTCCCAAGGACGTGGTAGTGACGATCGCGAAGAAGCACCTGAGCTGCGGCCTGAAGGGCCAGTCGGCGATCCTCGACGGCGATTTCCCGCACGAGGTCAAACTCGAAGAGTCCACTTGGGTAATCGAGGACGGGAAAGTGTTGCTGATTAATCTGGAAAAGGTGAGTCGGTGGGCATATCTACACGTATGTACGCGCGTACGCGTGTCGGTAATGCGCTTTTTCGCGGCCTCGCCGGCCCCGTGGCCTTGCCGGAACGGTGATTCCGACGGTTCTAACATCGCCCAGTCGCAGATGGAGATTCGAGATACGCGCCGCGATCGATCGACGAACGGAATCCGTCGTCGGGCTGACGTACGTGTCCCTGGACGAGCGCGAAATGCGGCGTTTAATTGAGCGAAGGTCCAGCTAATTCCACCATGTCTGATTATCGTGTAAAGTGATTAGCTGGCGAGATATATCGCTGTTCTCGTTGCAGCGTTTTAGCCCGGCACTTTGGTCCGCGCAGCAGGTTATTTATTACGTTGCATTACGTCGTGATTAAATTGCGATACGTTCGCAATGACGATTTAGTAGATTGTACAAAATATACCGAGCGCCAGTTTCGGTCTCTCGGCGACCGGCGAGAACAGTGTGTGTGTGTGTGTGTGTGTGTTGTAAGGTGATCGAAATTTATTATTTAACCGTGACATAACGTGGAATGTGTCACGTATGTAAATGTGCTCGTTATAACCGGCCGGTCAAAGTTGCCTCGAATTTAGCGGATAATCGATATCCCGAAACGATATTTATACCGTCGCCCTCAGGTGAATAAGATGCAATGGTGGGCGCACGTGATAACGAGCGAGCCGGAAATTAGCACGAAGAAAGTGAATCCCGAACCCAGCAAATTGTCCGACCTGGATATCGAGACGAGAGGTCTCGTGGAGAAGATGATGTACGACCAGAGACAGAAGGAGCTCGGACTACCCACGTCCGACGAGCAGAAGAAGCAAGGCGTCATCAAAAAGTAGGGACCGAGTCTAGACACGCGCTCGTCGTCGCGTGTCTCGTTCGCGTGTCGGCGGGGCTCTCGTTGATCATAATTCGTGACAATTGTTTCAGATTCATGGAGCAACACCCTGAGATGGACTTTTCCAAGTGTAAATTCAATTAATTCCATTCGTGCACGAATCATCATCACCTTCAAGGCGCGCTGACCACGCTTAAAATTCCGAACGCCGCACCGTTGGATACCACCGTTGCGCTCGCGTCTTCTCTCACTTCTTCGTGATCGTAACGTCGAGGAGTCCGCGCGCTCGACGTTCCGTCCACCCGAAGGAAGAGGTCAACGCGATTGCAACACACACACTGCGCTTCGAAGGTTGCAGAAGATGGCAGCACAATGTTAGACCGCAGCACCCGCTACAGAGTTCTGCTGTCGATTGAGATTCCGATTGATAATTCTACGATTTAATCACCTCGTTCTTCTCCTCTCCTCTTTTGTACTTTGTTCATCTGTGCGATCTTTCAGAAAAAAAAAAAAAAAACTAAAATGTGCACGTAGATGTAAAAATTCAATTTATATATTGCATTGTTTTATCTAACGAGTAAGCCGATTACTTCATTGACAAAGAAAGATATACATTGAAATTATATCAAATTGATGAAATTCGATTAATAAAGTTTGTGTAATAAACACTTCTTACATCTTACGATACTATATTATTAATAATACGAATGTGAGGTACGAAGAGAGGTAAGTGGTGTGATAATTGAGTCATATACACACTGTGAAAAACTTCGTCAGTTTCTTGTAAAAATTACACTTCATTCTTTGATTTCTCATACAAAACGGTACAATCTCACACATTTCTAGCTCAATCATCCTCGCATATTTTTTTTTTTAGCTTATTTTCGTACAACAAATTGAAATTGAAATTGACGACTCGAAAATTATATTATCGCTCTTTATTATATGCTCTATCTCTTATCCTCGACTTATACGCGTGATTTTACGATACGATACATTTTACTTGGTCAAGTATCAAGTTAAAATTTCGGTTGTATTATCTCGTTAATCCTGCAAATTTCGTCGTTAAAAACATAAACATCCGTAGTAGCAACTAACTTTATACATTTAGAAATATGATATATCGTTGCCTTCGACTCGACATGCCATATCTTCCTTCTTTAGCTTCCGAATCTAGCATCCTAAGTTTTTTTGGTTGCTCTATCGTGACATTTGGAAAAATTCGTGTCACGTAAAAGCATGTTCGGCCGCGAATGCAGTCTTATTTATATTTCTGCCTGTACTGTTTCCTTTTCAATTTCTCCTCAATCTTATTATACGGAATGCCAATTCAGATTTCTCTATCGGTAAGCCATTATTAGTGATGCAACTTATTTTTAGCTTCTTCGTTATCAGCTCTTTTTCGTTATCGCTTCGTTATCGGCGTTATTAGTTTTAAATTTTCTCCAGATTTAACGTCGGAAGAAAAAAGAGAATATAAGAATAAACAAAGAGTTGCCTTCTTTTACCTCCATTTTTATACATCTTAATCTTTACTAGATTACTTAATATTTAGTTATCTCACGTGCTCTCTATATTTACAGCTGAATAATTTATGATATTAATACAATATTCGTATTAAAATTAGGAATACAGGTTAAATGCAAGTGTGTGTGTGTGTGTGTGTGTGTAGATTATTGAGATAATTGAATATTAAATAATTCTGAAATATGCGCTTCAACATGGAGCCTCAATAATATGCATAGTATTATCGCGAGATTCTCCATCCTTCAAGTTGGACAAAATTTGCAGGTTTGATGTAGGTCGAAAAATGTTGACTCGGGTACACTTGTATGTAAAAGTACAGAAAAGATTCTCGATCGGTACTTCAAGTTCGATGTAATCCACCGAAATTAACCGAAGAAAGAACTGAAATTTGTCGTGACTTGTTCCCCAAGTCCTAATCGTCCGCTTGCTTCATCACTCGCGTTATCCAACGCACGTAATTGGGCAACCTGGCATAAATGCCAAATTTCCCGCGCTTGCCGCAACCCTCGCCGAAACTGGTGATACCAAAAATCGTCCACGGATGATCGGCTTTCCGGGGATCTCTGCAGAGGAGGGGTCCTCCGCTGTCGCCTGCGCATGAGTCCATCTTGCCGCGACGATAACCCGCGCAGAACATGTTATCCGTGATTCTGTAGTCCACATAAACCTCTCGACAGGTTTCGGGAGACACTATCGGAACCTGAAATTAAGTTTGAACGTTATTTCTATTTTGTCCTTGACTGTTATATTTATTAACATCAACATTGATTATACAAAAACTTGACTGAAAATAGAATTTTACCAGAGATGACACTCGAGAGCGATACATGTTTTATTTCGTTTCATCGGCTCTCTGTTGATCGTACTACCGATTTTTCAAGTGCAATTATGCTTACGAGACAGACACGGTCGTATATCGGTCGTGTATCGGTCATTGATGATCATCACGTTCGATATTCAACGTGTCGTTAGACGACACGTTATCCTTCTATATTTACGGATTTGTTTCTGGAAAGGATTCTCTCTCTCTCTCTCTCTCTCTCTCTCTCTCGTTTCTTCTTTCGCGATAGCACACGTCGAAATTTCCTTACTCTGACTTCGTGAAGCACATCCGTTCCGAAATCGTCCATCACGCTGGACTTGCCCCAGCCGATAATGGTGCACAAATGACTCGTGGGCAAAGGTTGCTTCGGCGCAGGCAGACACGCGATTCCCCTCGACGCAGACGGGGTCAGGGTAACTGGTAAACGAAGTAGAGCTATATCGTTGTCAACGGTATCGGCATCGTACTCTGGATGAATGGTCACAGAGTCCACCTATGTAATTGCAGAGTTAATCGATAGTGCGCGAAATTATTTAACGAGCTCTAGTAACCGCGATGCATACCCTAAGCTCTAATTCCGTGCCTTCCTCCACCGTTAAATCATGCTCCCCGATGCGCACGTACAGACGTTTCCTGATGCAATGCGCTGCGGTCAATACCCATTTGGGAGAGACCAATGTTCCGCCGCAAAAGGCTTCCTGAAAAGAGCAAATTCAATCACAGCGTAGGTTCGGACGATGCGAATGTCTGGTAACCTTGGAGTTGTACTCTTTAAATTTCTATTCCGCGCAAAATCTCACTCGAGGCGAGATAGTGAAAATTCCGTCGCTCAAGGTCACAAGAGTGGACATTGAACTTAAATTGTCAAGAAAATGAATTTGAATCATGCGGATCTGACTCAAATAATCAAATAAAGTTCTTAATCTTTCAATCGGGTAAAGTAAACGTTTTAGTCGTATCACAGCGAATTTGTCCCAGTATAATCATTCACTTTCCAATAACTCTTAAATGAAATTATTCACTCGGCGCGACACACCGAAAGTTCATTCATTTTATATGTGAGTGAAAAGTCATCGCTCGAATTCGATTGACTTTTTGGCCGTCGTTCCACTCTTCAAGTGGAATTTCAGTCTAAGAAATTTAGGGAGTAAAGACACTCCCGCCCAATGTCGTCTCCATCTTTCAATCCGTCGATCTGTTTTTTACACCAAACCACTTTGACATCTGCTCGATATAAAATCTGCACGAACGTACCCGAAATCGATTTAACACAGCCACTTGCCACGGCCAGCTCCCAGGCGTGGTCGGCCGACCGCCGATGATTCGGGTGAAATACGACAATCGGGAGGCTTTATGCGAGCTTGTTAGCCCGCATCTCCAAGTGTTCGGGTTCTTCTCCGATGCAAAACTGTCTACGGTATTAGGGTTGAGCTCGAACTCGTCCAGTACCGAGTCTGGAAAATCGAAAATAGCTAGCTCGCTGGCTCGTCTTTCTCCCTTCCCGTTCTGCTCCGTCGCGCAGAATTCACTCACCGTCACCGTCCTCTTCGTGGCTCCCGCGAATCTTCCGATGGATCCATTTCTGACAGAAACTGCCCTCGACGTAGCAGTAAGCGCTCTCTCGTATGACGTCGCGACCGCAGATACCGGGCTTTCGGCACCATCTAATCAGGCCGGCGAACGGAGGTGTGTAAAGTGTGTCGATACATTTACATAGATTTACATAGATTCCGCGTGAGAATACCTGTGACGTTGCGTGGTACACAGTCTTGTGCAGGGTGACCACTTGCTCCATTTCCCATAATACCCCCCGGAGTGCTCCTTGGTGGTATCTTTTCCTCTGCGTCTACCTTGCCTGGGCTCCGCTTCCTGTGGTACCTGCTGAGAGAGCGCGTACATACGAGTCGCGCGGAATCTTTGTAATTTTTGATCATTTCACACAGAAATTAAATATTCAGTTGCTCTTTCACTTTCCAAGTTTTTTCGAGTGAGGCTCCGTTCAAACGGTAGAGTGTGGCATCATTCGTGTATAGCGAGTGAGCTTTTCTCTTTCGAAATTGAAAAGTGGATCTGACTGTACTTTTGCTCCACTGTCCCAGGAGCAAAAAGTGAAAGATCCACCGCGATCCAGCAGATATTTTCACTGTCGCTTCGAGTGAATTTTCACTCGTTTTCAGTTAGAGACGGAGGTTTCGCTCGAAAAAAAAGATTTAACCTCTGGAGGACCGGAATGCAATTTATTGGCTTTTAATTGCTTTTGCCTTTGGAGGCCCCAGAAAACCAATTTATCAGGTTTTAACTTGCTACTGTAGGATATTTTAATTTATTAATATTCTACTTTTATATTCTACTTTATCGCTTGCTACTTTAACGCTATACTTTGTATTGTGTCAGTTTCGATTTGTTGAAACGGGATCGGGCAAACGCTCTCTGTGTGTGATACGACTGTCGAGCCGATAATACTTGTTGTTATTCATTTGCGGTGAACGCGATGCACCTCTTTGCGTTGCACGCAAAGTGCTTCAAACTGTATCACACCGAGAAAAATTACTAAATCTGTCGCAAAAGCATCAGTCCTCTTATTTTTTTCAATCACTTTTTTTTATATCTTCGACAAAGTATGCATATTATCGCGAAATAAATTGATATGTATATAAATACATATGATGCATTTTGACTGCCTTCTACTTTTCATAAATTGCGGCAGAAAAATTTATAAAAACATGTTATTTGTCAAACTTTTTCTCTCGAATGATGTCAAACAATATTATTCTAATAATATCTAATAACATTAAGTTGAAAAACTGAGAAGAAAGAAGGATCCTGAATCTTTCCCGGACCGGAGGCCAATATATTGGCGCGAAAGTGGCGCCATCTTTTTCGTCATTCAACCCAATGATGTTAATAATAATAAAAATAATAAAGTTGATGTTGAAAAATGATGTTAATAATAATAAAAATAATAAAGTTCTAATATCTGAAATGAAAAAGTCAAAAGTCAAACAACTGCGGTCCTCTAGAGGTTAAGGAGTAAGAGTAAGTATTTTCAGCGAGAAAAAAGATTTCATTTAAGAAAAGTGTTAGACCTTTTTGGACTCACTTGAACAACGTGAAATCTCTCTTCCCTTCGTCGATGTCCCCGACGTTCGCGTTGCTTGCACCGTCTTCGTCGTCCCTTCCTGTTGTGCTCGCAGCCGCGCTCCTCCTGTGCCAAGATAAACGGGTGTGCAGAAAAGATCATTCGCGATAACGCAACAACATGCTGTATACTATATTTCGTGCATTTACCCGAAGCACGGTGGTACCGCAATCTTTCTTCGATCGACACCTCTTGACGCGATTCTGCGTACAATGCCGGTCGCACACCGACCACTCGCTCCAGCCCGTGAAATGCGACGGCTTGGTCGCTCCTGTAAGATAATCAGGAAGACTAGCTTCGATCGAGTAGTTGGAATTAACGAGCATGGAAATACAGACTTACTATTCTTTGGTAAATGCTCCACGGCGGACAGTCGATCCACCGGACGCCGGCAATCTGTGTCGCCTTTGACTCCAATGACGAACGTGTTGTTCTCATTCTGCGAACATTTTTTTTTTCAAGTATTGATTAATTCAGTAAAATACTTAGGATCTATATCAGACGAGAGAGAATCATCAGTTTTTTAAGTCTATTCTTATACTTTGTTTCCCATTTGCTTATTTTTTCTGTCCTTTTCTATCCTCAATAAAATTCTCCGATTTATCTCGAGTGATCGATGTGTGCTGAGCTCAATGATTCATCGTTATATCACAGCCCTGCCTATGAAACCCCACGTTTTAGCTATCAACGCGATTAAGAATCACTCATTTATTCGGATCAGCGACGTTTCCCGACCGGATTTGTCCAGAAATGACCAGTCGCCTTAACTGATACGATCGCCTTAAAACCGTCCTGGACCGACGAGCGTCCCAGGCCGAACGACTGACGATAAACACGGCCTGCCTAGCTCTAATTTCATCCAGCGTATGTCTCAAGGCTGTAACGCCCAGTTCGCGACATTAAACTCAATTTGCCCGCTGGTAATGGCATCGCGACGTAACCACCGTCGACGCTAATCATGCGTTACACGATGTCACCGTGTCGACGGTACGTGGGCATATGAAATTACTATCATTGCGTTGTCGCAATGCCTTCTCGAAGGCTTTCCAGAACGTCGCAGGCGAGCGACGCGACGCGACGCGACGGGTTCCGAACAATAGTTATCGTTCGCAGCTGCGGTGATTCATTACGGTCCCGCGTACCGCGGGATTCAGCCACGACCAAAACGGTACTCGAAGCGCCCTTTTAGCGGCCTACCGTCGCGTCGTATTGTCCGTGATGACAATGACGCGAAACTCGATTACCACACACATCGAGGTTGATTACCTCGCGGAAATTCGCCGTCACGAACGCGCACAAAAGGAAAAGACATATTTCGTATGTTTCGTTCTTCTTTACGGGTGCAAAATTTATCCCACGATTCAGATTCTTCGACGAATCCTTCTTCGATCGAAACGCGATTCGAACGTTCGCTCGAAGAATCATCGTCAGCATCGCCGTTATCGGAAGATCAAGGTTGAGAACGCTCGGAAAGTGTACATTTTCCATAAATTGCTCATGAATTCTCAAACTGCCGAGCTAATGATGCCGCCTGAGAATTCTCCTTTGAACTTTGCGAATGCGCGCACGCGCGGACAGGTTCTCTCTCTCTCTCTCTCTCTCTCTCTCTCTCTCTCTCTCTCTCTCTCTCTCTCGGTTGACTTCTTCGCCGAGCCACACTTGTCCAATTCACTCCGTAATTAGCCGAAATATGCAAAACGAATCTACAGCGAATGATCTTTAGCAATCGGAATGTCGGGCCGATCCTCGGCCGATATGCTCGAGCGAGCGAGCGAGCGAGCGAGCGAGCGAGCAAACTTTCCGCACTCATCCCGAAGACTTCGTGCCAATTACCGGTCGTATCGATTTTGCGCATTTAAAGGCACCGCCCGTTATTTCATCTCTCGCAGGAGGCCCTACGGTTTGATGTCATTACGCGGCAAAAGCAGAATTCAAAACGAAGCAATCTGCGGTTGCAAAGTGCAAGTTTCAAGAAGATTAAGAAGAGAGAGAGAGAGAGATGATAGCTGAGTGACTTTCATCTTTCTTGTTTATCATATGTGACGAGCGAGATCGTGATCGGTAATTCGTCTCAGTGATGACTCATTAGCGCGAAATGATCAGTCGAGGGGCGGAATGCAGCACCGGAGAAAACACTAAATGAAGAAGGAGAGGTGATCTCAGTAAGGATAACAACGGGCTAGCGGGAAATTTGTATGCGGCGAAGTAGCGTGTCTCCAAACTAGGCTGAGATGTGCGCGGTACCTTGCATCTCAGTCAGACAATCTCGCAAAAAGCTCGTGCCGCTAAAAGGGAAGGCAATTCAGCGAGGTAAAGTCGAGGTAAAGGAGAGAAAGAAAGTGAGAGAGAGAGAGAGAGAGAGAGAGAGATAGGGGGGGGGGAGAGCGTGCTCGCCTCATTGTCGATACAACTTCGCCGTCTGAAAGCCCTATAGCGGATCCGCGGATAAGCGGGAGCGCGTAACGAGTGTCAACGTTCGCCGAAGGAAAAACGAACGTGCCGAGCAGCCGACACGAAGCCGGCGCGAACGGTAGCTTCAATTTTCACCCGATCGATTTTCCTCGAAAGCTCCTTCCGCTTCCCGAAACCTCGTATCCGCTCGCCGGCCATGTCGAATAACGAGCGCGCGATTTGGACTTTCTTTTTGGACGCGGACCCCGGACCGCGGTGACACGTAACGCTTTCGCTCTTTCTCCAATCGTGACGAATTTTGAAGAATTATGACGATCTTTATCCTGGCACGTGCTATAATGGGCGGGAATATGTGCGTTTGTCGTTGCGAAGACGAGACACGCGATTCGGAAAGTAGAGGGACATCCGGCTGGCGAATTAACGGTGTCCTTAGATGGTAACACACACCGTCGGACGTTTGTCCGACGTCCGAAAATGGTCGGCGATTTCTTCAACGGAGGGTTGCTACGGTTTTAATGTGGGATCTCTCATGGGTCCCGATTTGTTGTCTCGCCGAGCTGTCGATGGAATGCCCGCTGTGGCGAGTCCGCGCTCTGATTTATGGGCTCTCGGTGGCCACGATCGGAAGACCGTTCTTTGTGTTCCACCTACATATGGTCAAAGGATGTGCGCGCTCTAAGTCCCGACCCGGTAGAAATCAAGACACGGGAGCGGGATCACTCCGTTGCGCGAAATCTCGGATGATCGCGAATCTCGCTGAAAGCGGGAAAGGAACGGAGGCCGCGGACAACGTGACGCCAAGTCAAGCTCGCGCTTAGAGAACTCGTGCGAGCTCTCGCGCTCGCGATAACTTCCAGCGATAAATCAAAATTTCATTGACGTTAATTAAGCCGTGTAAAATGTCCGAGCGATCTATCTAATCGGCGTGCCGCCGATAATGCATTCGCTCATTTGTCCTCGAGCGCGATCTCGCGCATTGCGCGATGCGAACCTTTGTATATATCTCACGGAGCCCGCGACGTCCGCGACTCGACGGGGCTATAATTGCGAGAGCGCACTCGCGTATAACAGAATAATCATTGCGACATTGTCGCCGGCATTGTTGCGTGGGGTAATGTCGGGCTGGTGTCGCGTTTTGTCGCGCGAGGCCGCAAATTACAATCGCGTCGCGGACGCTTATTCCCTGCCGCCAACAATCGATTAGAGCGATAGACACACCGTCATAAAGTACAATAACGCGGTTGCATCGACAACCATACGTCGATGACGACGACTCGTAATTCGTTCTTTGAACAGCGCCCGTTCAACAACGCTCGCTCGCTCGCTCGCGCAAAAGGAGACGCTTTGCTGACGTCGCGCGTCGCGTCGCGTCGCGTCGCGTCGTGCCTCCTTTTGCCGCGTTTCTCACTTTATAAAGACGGTTCGATGCCCTCGAGCGCGACGGCGAGGTTTTACGAGACTTCATAAATACCGCTCGCTTTTAATTAGATTTTTAATAGCGGCGATAAACGCGAGCGCAGCCTCCTGCGGGAATCGCCGTCTCTCAATCCCGCGAGCGACATGACCGCGATGACGAGAGAACGGAGGCTTCCTTATAGGCGAATCTGTGGAAAAGAACTCTGAACTCTGTTTCGCCGCTCTCGGCTCTCGGCTTTCGCTATACGTGACCGAAAGTGCCGCGCTCCCGGCCGCAGCTCACCTCTTTATTTCCCCACCTGATCCACTTGCGGTAACATTACTGTCTAATGTGTCATGAGTTACATTGCGTAACCGCTCGATCGTCTTTTCTGGCGAGTGAGAGCTCGCGCGGATATGCGCGTCGTGTTTCGCGGTCTTGCAGCGGCTTTGCGTTATTTGTCGTGCGTCTCTCTCTCTCTCTCTCTCTCTCTCTCTCTCTCTCTCACTCTCTCGCCCCCTCTCTCTCCCTCCCTCTCTCTCTCTCTCTCTCTCTCTCCCTCTCTCTCCTCTCGCAATGTCTCAATGTTATGGGTGAGGTCATCCTCGTGATTTACCGTTTCCGTTGTTTAATATGCAGGGTTAACGCGACGATACGCGCCTTCCACTTCGTGCGAATGATTTCCCACTTGACACGCTATTGTGCGTGTCCGTCGACGCGACGTTTCTGTCGTGCCATTTGCCGTCGCGGATTCCGGCGAAAGGGGTCGCGAGAGAGACGCGTTATTCCGCGAGAAATTAAATATCGGTACGTTCGTCGCGCGAAAAACACATCCCTCCTTCTCATTCTCTCTCTTGGGGATTATTTACGATCGCATAAATCGCGTCGCGCGCGCGCGCGTTTGTCATTTACGTTTCCCCCTCGTTAATCACGCGAGTCGAGTTAATTTACAAGTGCACACCGCTTTCGACGCTTCCCGTCGAGAGATCGGTCGCGCGTCGCCGTATGTTGCTTGGTCTGCTTCCTGCCCGATCGCCTCGTGTTTCCAAGAATGTCGTCCTTAACGACGCAATTTTCCCGGAGAGAGCGGCTACCAATTACGGATATCAATTTTCAATGCGCATCGTAATATATTGTGCGCGCGCTATATATCCGTACTTTTGTAGCGCATATACGCGCGCGCGCACACGTGCGCACGTTAGATCGGCGAATTACCGGTAACTAGGCTAAGAAGCTCACAGGTGAATGTCGGCCGACTGCTCGACGGAATGAAAGAAACAAGCGAGCGGGGAAAGGGAAAACGTCGGCGGCCGATCGATCGCCTAAATTTACGATAAAACGCCCCCACGAGAGGGGGCTTACGAGGAGTGAATTTGCGTCGGCGGTTGCGAGCGAGACTCTGGACCGTAATAAAACCGGCTATTAGGATCCGTCAGAGGGCCGCAGGAAAAGGAGTCACCTGCAGCGCTTTTAACCGTCGCTTACCATCCGTCTCCTACTCGCTGCCGCCTCCTCCCTCCTCCCCCCCTCCCCCTCCCCCTCTTTTACTTTTTCTTTCTCCCGGTGCTTCTTCCACGTGCGTCCGGCTCGCGTTTACGACCACGGTTATTTCCGGATCAACGTCTCCGACA